CCATCATGACAGACCTGTCCTGCTTTTGCCTGGGCAAGCTAATGCTGCCACATGGCACTGTTTTAGGTGGCTGTGTCATATGGGGCACTCTGCTGTGTGGGCAGCAATATTGGTTTAGGTCAACATTGAATGCCATCAGCCCTGGCATTCCTTGTGCTTCCTTCTAGCCACAATCCCTGTGTAGCCATAGTGAAGCTGCTAAATGCTGGCTGTATGAATGTGATGGGTACATTTGAGTAAAAAGCTGTATCCAGTCTCCCTGTCAGAGATTCCTGAGTGAAAAAACACTATTAATTCATCAGCTAGAGTTCAGGGCAAAGGTTTAGATCACTTTTGGTTTTATTCTAACTTGATTGCTCACCCGTAGTAACTAGCCTGTCTGAGAACAAGAGTGTATGCAAATTCCCCAGGCTATTATTCTGTATTAAAAAAGGGAAAAAAAAAAAGGCTATGGTATGACTTTAGACTTAATCATCATTTATCCTACCCTGAAGGCATGGAAGTTAATGATGATATAGATCTGTGCGGTTTTGTGTTCCCCTTGACTGAGCATTAGAAATAATTATGGCTTGTGGGATGGATGCACTGATGGTGGAAATGAGCAGAAAACATTTTTGAATGTGCGTATGTGCCTCTTCCAAGTTTGCTGGCAAAGATACAGGTGCTAAGAGTGTGCTTACGGACTCTGAGGTTTCTAGCTTGTTTGTTGAGACATAGCTAGCTGGTGCTGAGGAGAAAGGAAGTGGGAATAAATGAGTTGTTATTTTGGAGGCTTTTAAGGTTGTGGGCCAAGCAGAGATGCTAGCGATTTCTGGAGAGATTTTTTCAGTGGGGTAAGCTCTCCTGCATCCCAGGGGCTGCGGAGTACAGTTCTGGGCTATGCCTGTGGGGTATCTACAGCACTGGGGCTGGTCCAGGAGTCCCAAGCTATGCAGGAGTTGGCACTAGACCTCCTGAAGCTGTAAGCACCATAGTTGGAGTTTTTCCTGAATTTTACCTCCTTCAGTGACCTGAGTGTTTGGGTTGGTTCTTAGACAGCTATGGCCAAATGCATGCTGATGGTCATCACAGGTTGGATGGGGAGGAACTGGTTCTGCTGCTCTGGAAAAGACCTCTGGTCTCTTTCTCTGTCTTGCTGTGGGTCGAACCAGAGACAGTTTCAGGGTTTTTTATTAAGGTGCAAAACAGCTTAATCTCTTCCCAGGTAGCCATGTGGTGAGTTATGGAAGCATCTGTTTGGGGTGGTGGCAGCCCTTCTCTAAAGTCTCTGCTAAAATGGTTTCCTCTGTGTTGCAGGTACGTACATTACTTGCTGTTTGCCCACTGTTTCTTCCCCAACCTGTTCAATCTGCAGTTTTTTGATGAAGGCCATTTCAGCAAAAATAATGTTCCCGCCAGGCTGGAAGGTGGTGGGAAGAGAGGTGGTGCTGAGCCCGTAGGGACTTGTGTAGTGGGACTGTGTGCTGGTGGCCTCTCCAGCAGTGTGGGATGGGAAGGCTGCCTGAGAGAGTGCCCCAGAAGTGTTGGTAGCACTGTCACCCTGTGTGGGGAGCTCCTGCAGCTGGGTGATCAGAGGAGTTACCCCCTTGGGGAGGGGATGTCGGGGCTCTGGCCTGGTTTGAGGCTGAATTGGGGTTGGGACCTGGCAATGATGCAAGTGAAGGACAGATCTACTGGAAATGGCTGGGTAGGGTGGTGATGGGGAAGATGCAGATACCTTGTATCTAGATGGAGCCCTGGTAATTTGTGTTTATACCAGAATTTTGGGGATTCTCAAAGCAAAACATTTTGTTCCATTTAGACTTAGTACTGGCTAAATATATTCCTCAGAGAAGATCGATGTAGTGCAGTATTTTAGAAGATACACTGTGAAAGCAGTCCTGAGCAGAAGCCCGCGGGGCAGCCGGAGAGTCTGCTGTGCCTTAGCAGCTCCTCAGAGCTGTCTGAGCTGTGCTGGGAGCCCTTCTGCTCTCCAGAGCAGCCCAGGCACAGGGGGAGCTTAAAGTCACTTGTGGCTTTTGCCTTCCTGGCATGTGAATTTTGGGTTACTGTGGAGCGCCTGTCAAAAGGTGTATCCTGTCCTCTCCTATTTATTTTGCTCTATGCAGAATTCTACTAAAGTAAGGGAGGAATATGAGTCTCTTCTAAGTGGAGATTTAGCATTCAGCTCTGATGGCTGACTCACCGGTAGGAAAATTCCTACTGACTTGAGTTAGAGTTGAATGGGTTGTATTATCTTTTCATATGCAGAAAATTATTTTGAAATTGAAGTTAATAACAGCAATTTAAAAATTGTCGTTGATAGAAAGATAATACAATATTTAGTTGTATCATGTTCTTTTTATGATCTGATGTTTGAATAAAAGCACTTTTTCTGCTTTTTTCCTTAATTAGCATGTCATGAAGTTTGTGGCATCAAATACACTATCTAATTACATTCATTAGTAGCATCTCCAGGACAAGTTTTAATTAAGTTGTACAATGTAGATCAATACTTGTTTTGCATCCATTGCAACTTAAGACAGGAATATACTGTTCTGCACAGTTTAATTACAGTGATTGTAATAGAAGGAATTTGGGTAAACCTGCCATTTTGGCAACTGCCCTCCCTTCTCTTGCTTTTTAAAATAGTATACAGTTATAATATGGGACATGTTATTTATGCGTGTCCTGTTTTGAAGTATATTTTAAGATCACCCTTTTTATCCCATTAAAAGGAAAATGCAGTGTGGTTCAGGAGCACTTGGGTACTGGTGCTTGACTTCAGCTGGAGCAGGAGACCTTAATGAGCATTTTACCTGCAGACTTCAGGAGGGGAAAGGCTGGCCATCACTGGCTGACATATCTAATGGTGCATGATAGCAATACTTTTATTTTGCTTAGGCTGTGGGGTGGATTGCCACCTAATTGTATGTTTACTTACTGTGGATGTAGTTCAGTGCAGTCCCCGAGTACTGCTTCCACCAAATGTCCTGTAGTTCCGCAGCATTGCCAGCTCCCAACTGTTTTCTGTTTTGGCAGGAGAAAGCAATCTGGGCATGAAAACCCTGAGCTACCAAATGTTTTTGCTCAACATCACAAAAATATACTTGACCAGGCAGAACATCTATATGCCTTATGATAGTGTGCTGCATTAATACTTGCATGCATTGTGAAAATATCTGGATAGACAAATCTTCTTTAGGATAAGTATTTAATGCCAAAGCTGAGAACTGAGTTGTTTTTTTTAAATATTTAATTCCAAAGGTGAGAACTGGGTTTTTTTTTTTTTTTTTTTTTTTTTTACCTCAGCATTGTACTTTTGTGCTTTGGGCTGGTTTTGTGTACAAGGGACTACAGTTGTCAGCCTTCAGTACAGTACAATGATTAAGACTAAACTGACTCAGAGAACTTTGTTTTTTCGAACTAAATCTGTTGTTTAATCTTCATTTGTTTTTCAAATATTCCTTAAGATTTTAAAGGAGCATGCCTTTTAGTATAGTGTACTTCTGGGTTTTCTTACTGTGCCTCTGTAAATAGTCTAATCCTGATATCTGAGGTACTCAGTTGGCAGCATTTTTAATTTTGTCTGCGGTGCCCTGCAGCGGGGTGACCTGGGCTGGTGTAAGGAAGGGTCTGTATGTTGCACAGGTGTTTGCACCGGTATATTTGGCTGCGCCGAGACCGCAAATCAGCCTGATTTGAGTACTAGGGGTGAGGGTTGTGGTACTCACGTCCTTTATACTTGTGCATGCAACCTGTTTGTTTTTCTTCTCTAGCAATCTTGAAGTAGCTACGTGGTTGGTACTAAAGGAGTGAGAGCAAAGCTGCCTCTACCCGTTTCAAGCTTGTTCTAGGGCTAGATCATTGTGGGCTGGAAAGTCTTGAAAGTCCAATTGTAAAAACTTCCAGTGGGATTTTTAAAGAGCACATAGGGTGGAGATCAGGAATTGAAGACCCAGGGAAATGGATTCCTTTTCAGGAGGGACATGAGTACAAAAAGTGAGGTATTAAGCAGACAAATATACTGTGAGAAGCAAGTGTTGTAATCCAAGGAGAAGGAAATCGTGTGCTTTTAAAACAGAAGAAAGTTCCTCCTAGGTTGAGATTTTTGGATGACAGCTGTTGATTCAGAGACAAGCTTTTAACTTGGAGATTAAGCCCCGGGTACAGGAGGTGAAAGCTCTGCACCAGAAACTGCTATAATTTTCCTTAACTGAGTTAAGTGTGTGTAGATTTAATTACTTCACACTTTTTACTCAGTATTTTGGGTAATATGAAGGGAAAAAAAAATGTTATAAGCTTGGGAATAGATTTTTGCTGTTTAATATAAATTGTTGATTGCTTATGTGACTTAACAAAGCTACTCTGAGTTTTTGTGTGGGGGAAAAAAAAATCCCTTGGGTATCTTGCAATGAAGTTGCCAAAGACTTGGGGGAAAAACGTGAGAGAGGGAGAAAAGGATAGATTCCTGATAACAGTAATACTGTTGTACTTGCACATAAAATACTTAAAAAATTGAATTCATGGTAATCCGGAAACTCTGCATGTTGTTTCTTGTTTCATTTTTGTCTTAAAGGTCTGATTATGCTAAAAACATGCCACCTTAGAAGAACTGTGTGTATAATCACACACATGTTTGAGTGTATGTGTATACCTGTGTACTGTATTCTTACATATACACATAAACACACAGTGTGCACTATATATTTATTCCCCCCAAAAGACCAGATCCTAAGAACATGAAGCATCTGGATCTTCCAGAAGATTAATGCATTTGCAACTTGGTTTCAGTGGCATATCTCAAAAGAATAAAGTAATGCATATATAGAATTGTTTTCAGTGTATGACCTCATTGTTAGAGGAGTTATTGCGTTGTTATTCCACTTTACAAAAATCCAACTTCCTTGGTTAATTATAAACAGCCTGTTTACCATAGCCACCCAAACCTTGAAATATTTATTGAAGCTTGTAACCCATTCATCTTCCTTAACAGTTTTTTCTCTTATTTTCAGTGAATTTACTGGACTCACGCACAGTAATGGGGGATCTAGGATGGATAGCCTACCCAAAAAATGGGGTAAGTCTCTGTTGTTGTTTGCTTTCTCTCTCACAAATTATACTAACCGTTTCCATTCGGAAAGTAGACTACTGGGTTTAAAAACTCCCTGGAGTGACTTGTCTGCAATGGAGGGAAAAAATAAATAAAACAACAAGCTGTGATTGGAAAAATGGAGCTGTGTGGCTGGGGGATTGATTTATTTATGCAGTAATCCATGAGGTTATTTAATTTTTTTTTTTTTTTTAAATTATAAATTGCTATTCTTGAGCCTTTGGGGTAAATGTACAACAATTTTCTGGAAGTTTTCTTCTTAAGCACAGGGTCTGGGACATTACTGTTAGCTTTAAATGATCAGGACTGTTCAGAGATACTTTTCAAGCTCATGATACAATTCTGGGAGCTGATAACACTGGAACAAGACATGAGTTTTAAGCACTTTGAAGAGCCTCTGTCCGTTACCATTAACTATACTGAGAACGGAAAGAACCTGGCCTAATTTGATACCTGAAGTAAGTGCTAGAGTTTAGATGCATTAATACCCGCCAGTGTGTGTGCTTGGCCTGACTGCACTGTGTGAGCAGTCATTGCTGTGACTGTTGGTCTTTGGTTTGGCTGGGGCATCCTCAATGCTGTACCGTAACAGAGCTTTGGTACCGTCTCGAAAGGTTGACTTCTGCACGGCGCTGAGTATTCCTGTCAGTTCCTGGGAGCCATGAGCACCATGTGAGGTGAGAAAGCATCCCAAGACAGAAATGCTGCATGACTGAGCCCTCCAAACAGAGCAGTTCTCAGGAATGTGTTATTCCAGAGTTTTAGTCACCAGCTGAAATGGGCTGCAGAATTGTCTTGGACTTCAGTTTGATTGTCATAAAAATGGTGGCAATGCTTATATAAAATGCAGCCAACCCTGCACATATATATTACACAGTGAATTAAAATCTGGCTTTCCGTATATTCTGTGTAGATGAAAGGTTGTAGAAATGGCAGCCTCACTCAATGAGCTGCATGCTTGCAGGCACAGGTTATGGCAAGGATGTAAAAGCTACACAGGGAGCTCAGTTTATCCTCCACTCAGTTCAAGTTCTAATCCTGTTGCGGGTGGAGTCTATAACAATATTTTTTCTCTATTGATTTAAAGCCAAGAACTAAACTTGCTTCCCTTGCGTGTGTGGGCATCAGAATAACCAGTGCCAGATGTGCTGGCAGAGCAATGTGTTGGTGCCGTGGCACACCATAAAGATCCCAGTGTCCACTTCTTAATGGAAGATTTTTTCCTTTTTGAACACCTCTAGGTATTTTTCCTATGGTATAAAGCACGGTTGCTGTATATCTCAATGTCCTTACAGGAATATCAGTAGAGAAATAATTAGGCCTGAAGACTTGAGAAGATTCCTGGGTTTGTATGTGGAGATGAGTAAATGAAAAGCTAAATATCCTATGCATAAGCCTGAGTTGTGGTTTTTTCATTATTTAGAGAAACCTTTCTATATTTCCAAGCTCAGTTTCCAAACAGCACCTAGAAGTGCGCTCATGAATGCCAAATTAATGGTTACTGACTTAAAAGGGAGGATTTTTTCCTTAAATTAAGTTCCACAAATAAAAAATGAATCAGGCAGTTGGTTTTTGAATTTCCAGAAATCTCCTCTTAATCTTCTTTGTTTTCATGGGACACCATAAAAATTCATGAGGTTAGCCCGATTGTCTCTTTCTTGGCCTAATATATTTGCAGTATTTTACCAGTACTGAAAAAAGTCTTTCCAGACTTGTTTCTCTAACCCCCTTATCTGCTCTGCAATCAGCTATGCTGCAGTCATACTCTGTTTGCTTAATTTTTTTAAAAGATCTACCTTGTATAAATATTTTAAGTAACTCTCACTTCAGGATTTGAATTTGGAAAAGGAGGGAGCTTTAACTGAGATCAGAGATATGCAAGCTGTTCTTTTTGAGGTATTCTCATACAAAGTTGTTATCTCAGGATGTCCTCTTAGGGATAATTTTGGAAGATCTGTGTATCTGCCTGCCCTGTCCCCATCAAGAAAAGGAGCAGAAATGTCGTAATGTGTCACACTTTGCAACACTACAGTGTGTAGATACAGACCATGTGGTGAAGTAAGCTTTTTGATGCATGGTATTTTATTATTGCTATTAACAGTATTCTGTAGAGTCTAGTCGCTTTTCAAGTACTTGGTATCAATTTCAACGGTGATATAGTTCCAACTGAAGATACATTAACTTTTGAAGCAGCCTTCAACTCTTCTAGTGTTGCTGCTTCTCCACTTGATTTTTATTACAAATCTTAAGGAAACAGTATTTTTTCTAGAACCACATCTGCTGGAAGTCGGAGATGGCACCAGGAGCACAGCTGATGTTAAAGTCTTTGTAGTTGTATGGGAGTGCCTGGGAGAAGTTATCTATGTATACAAAGGCTCAAGCTGGTAGGTTTTGAAAACAGATTTCCACATTTATTTAAAAAAAAAACAACAAAACAACCCAAACCCCCACCAAAACAATGGGGGTAAGAGATCCAGTCAAGCCAAATGAGCTTGCTTTTGGCAGATCCTTTGTAGGTGTCAGTCTAAATTTTTATTATAGCTGTGTGCCGTGGTAATTTTTGTGTATTAAAGCTTTAAGACATTCCATGCTCCAGGGAGGTCCAGCTGCCCTTGTTTAGCCTGTTGCTCACCTCATTTGTGCTGAACACAATGGGGAAAATATGATCTAACTTGGGAAATGAAAGGAGCTGTGTATGGGAAGGAGACTGACCCTCCAGTCTGGAGACAGATTAAGCTTAGAGGTAGACCTGTTTCATGGCTGTAATTCCAAATAAAGCACCACAGCTGCTTTAGTCCCCACAAGATCAGACCTTGGTCCACTGCTAAACTGTGTGCACCAGCTCATCTAGTGAGTAACGGCTTTTAGGCGAAGGGAGGGGAGCACTCTAGCTAAGGGTTGCCTCTGCAGAACTTTGTCTAGCTAGGTGCTTATCTGGTACAGGTTTTGGAAGTGTCCAGTATCCTTGCAGCCTGGCTGGCCTTCATGTCCCCCCATGCACGTAGAAGGTAAGAAAAATCCCCCTCTTCCATCGTACGGAGTATTGAGGGACCAGTGGAAAAGAAATAATGTGACTGAAATATGCTGTGGCCAAGCAGGGGTTGAAATGTCTCCTGATATGAAGAACCGTCTGTTGTGTAGGAGAAGGTGCTTTCTTCTTTCTGCTGCTTTGCTTTGAAGGATTAATGAATCCTGGTAGCGTGGCTTGCTGGCTCAGCAGCTTGCAGCAGTCGTGCTGTTGGCTCTTAAACATGTAGTTATGTCTGTTAGAGCGTGAGCAAAGTCCTTGTGAGGTCTGCATGGCCATGGAGCTCAGAAAAGGGACGTTCTCCCTGCCAGTGGAGCATGGTCAGCATGGAAATGCTGCCCCTTTCGCAGCTCAAGTTGGGAATTGATCCTGTTATTACATGCCAAAGGGACAATTTGGACTTTGCTTTGCAGCTCATGTAAGTTTACTTTAACCTGAAGGAGATTATTGGGATTACCAGAGGCTATATCAGACAAGTTTGGTTCCTCTTGAGTAGTAGGAAGCCCTCCAAGCACATCAACAAAACCATTCACGTTTTTTTATTAAAGCCTGTGCTCGTACAGCAGGTCTGCAAAGCCTGTGGGTGTCTTTTACCTCCAGACTTCTTCCTGGGGTGCTGTTTAGGATTACCCAAACTGGGCACATCAGAGGTTTACGTGTGCATTGTATTTGGCTGTCACACCGACTAGCTCTGACCTACAGAAACTGCCTGCACTTGCCTGTGCTAAACATACATTTTTATCATATGGAAGCTCACAGAAGTAGGAAGAATGGTAAGTGCTGTGAAATAGCCGGGTCAGGCAGTGTTTGTAGGCTGTATTGCCTCCTTTCCTCCCTTGATTTGGCAGGAGACTGCGTGATGCATTTTGACTCCCTGTAAAGCCACAGCAGAGGGAGAAGCTACAAAGAGCCCCCTTGTAAACCTGTGCTCTTCAGTCTTATTTGGTCTGGCCAAGTAAAAACACAGCTGCTTTTAACAATATCCAGATAATAGCAAAAGTTGCTGATTAAAATAAATGCTTTCTTTTAGCTGGCTTGATTTATTCAGCTATTATATCTCATTTTTGTTTCAGTGGCTATAATAGTGCTGATTTACTTGTTTCAGACCCTCCCTCCTTTCAGGGTTTATTTTAAAACTTATTTCTTCACAGCTTAGAAGTCCTATTTTTCTGTCTGAATCAGAGTGCTGCACACCTGCTTTGCTTTTGTGTAATGGGTCCTCTCCCATCTCTTCCACCTCCCATTGATTTCCCTGACCTTCCTGTAGCACAGAACAGGAAAGCTCTGTGGTCCTTGGGGTATTGGCTGTGTGCTGTGGCTCATTGCACAGTTCCATGTGCTGGGATTTTTTTTTTTTTTTTTTAGGCTCAGACAGGAAAATAAACATGTACTAAGGAACCTGGTCCTGTGGAGATGTTCTTAATTCTTTATTCATTGCAGAAAATGAGAGCGCTAGATGACTTGTTGCGTGTGAATGGCAAGAGGGAAAGCAATTGCCCCTGCTTTTTGTGGTTAATAAGGCCAAATACTGAAAGCTGGGGCATAAATTCAGCTAGACGGATTCTGCAAGTTGCTTCTCATTTATGTAGGCCACTGGTGGGTTTGGTTTTTTTTTTGTTTTTTTTTTTTTTTGCGAGCAGCATTTTTGGCTCATTCTTTGGAGGACAGGTACCCTAGGGTGCCTCTTTTGAAGTTAAAAATAATGGTGATTTAGATTACTCAGCGTGGTTTGTGAATAGATTCATGTTGTTCTCTGTCAGTCTTGGTTCAGATAGAGATTTTATACAGGAATTCTGGATTGGAGGCAGTGTTTGCCCTCAGGGATAGAAATAAAATAAAGGGGGAGGGCTAGGGGGTAGTGAAAGGAGAAGGAGGATTCTTGGCACCATTGAGCTGTGTCATGTAGCTATGATTATAATTGGCATTTTCAGGGCAGTAC